ATTATTTTTCGTAATTGTTGAACAGTTGATTTTGCTTTGCAAGTAGAAAATTATCTTAGGCGTATAACCACATCCTATGACGGAATAATAGAATTGACTCGGTTTGTTTTTATCAACCTTAGTGGCTTTGATTGTAATCGGTTTATGCGCGGTAAATAATAATTAAGGTAGATAATGTGGGATATGTTAAGGAAATAGGTATCACGCTCACGTTTGAGATCGCAAGAAATAATAGTGAGCCTTTGCCAAGTTCGGTTTGCGGCCGGACATACGTGGTTAAGGCGTTTACTTGTGGTAACCATAAAACTAGTGAGCATTGTAATTTTGAGTAGAACGTTTAGAACGATTGTGATGTACGAATGAACGAACGAAATAAAGTGAAAGATACAGTCCTGATTGTTCGTTGAACCAGCGGACGTGGAGATATTCCAAACGCAGTGGAAGATTCCGCAACAGTGCAACGACGGCAAAGAAAAGTACAAAAAGCGTGATGCACGTGCAAAGTTGTTGTTTTGCCAATCTAAACCTATTGCTTTTTTTGCTGTTCTCGTTGACGTCGCCGTCGTCGTTACTTAAGCTCCCCTTAGTTGACTTGAGACGTAACTGTCGCGTCCGACGCAACAGACAAACAACCATTTGATACCAGCAATGTTTAACGTATCTGATCGGATTCAAATCGCTTCCAAAACGACTAATAAAGACATTGGGACACACTAAGGTAAATGCATCTTATTTCTTTATTACCTAATGCAGCGTTCGGGTTCCCTGTCCCTTGTTGGTGTCCATTTGAGGGCGGGGCACAAATATGGCAGCCGGAAACCGCACAGAAACATCCGTTTCATCGCTTGAGGAATTCATAAAGATAAAAAAATATATATTTGTTCTGAGACAAGGAATGTTTAGATAGCAAAATCACAAATAATTAGAACTTACCCCGCGCCAGCTAAATTAATGCTACGTCACCCAAAAGCCTGCAAATTCAAGCGTCGAACTGAAAATTTGTTAGATAATGGTGTTTAAGGCTGGGAATACTACATGATAGTAGAAACTCCAAAGAATCGATAGTTTCTTAGTTTGAATTTTGGTTACGTCCTGTGAAAACTGAGAATAGCAAATAAACTTAATCATACTCATTTCTGAAAGGCTGAGGGAAGCTAGATGAAGAAAGACACGGGCTTTGCATGTCTGCCTGCACGCTCTTAACCCTTAAAAGTGTCCGGACAATGTCTGA